GAATAAAATCAATTTCAGATCAACGGTTTTTTTAAGCAAAGACCACGCATTCGATTGAGAAAAATCCAGCACACAAATTCGCTCAGAAATTAATTTGAAAGAAATCAGTGACGTGACATAAATGTTCTGTCAAAATAGCCAGTTGGAAATCCGTAAGCACGCCACTAGTGGAAATTAGAGAAAATTTGGCACAATAGAAAATGCTTCGTGATACATAGTACGAGTACATGTATGCCAAAGTGTATTAGAATATCTAAAACGATTAACGTGTACCTCAAAGGTTAACACGTTTAGAACATATGTCCTTGCGTTTTTTCTTAACATGTACCCAAAGATTTCCTCCTTAAAGATTGACATCCAATTAGAAAACACCCACATAGTTAACTTGGTGGAACGCCCACTTTCTCCATTATTCAACTTCCTGACTCCAAGAACTAACTCCTATATGGGTTAGAATATCTTTTTTGCTATTTCAATAAGGAATAGCATTACTATGCGTGTTCCAGAATCTCACCAGGAACAAGCAGTCTCATAAAAGAGGTTCGTATTCAGTTCAGCCTTAAAACCCTTCAGAGGGATCTCCTTTCTGTATACTGCAATCACCTCTCCGATTTTTAGCACACAAGCAATTTTCCCTGTGCAGAAAAATATATAGATCATGAAGGTCACTGGCTTTAGAAATTAACTCAGTACTTCTTTACGATGAAATTTGGGATCTCATCAGGTCCAGAAGGACGTTTATTTTTCAGCTTTTCATTAATTAAGTCCATTTGCTGATGATGAATTGTTTCATCATCAGCAAATGGATACACCAACATCAAATGCCGTGTACCTTCCCTACGCGATGTAGAGTTATTATCATGAATGGGATTTGTATTAATATTTTGACATTTAAAGGCGCATTTTTAATAATTCACAGCACAGATTTTTTGACTAGACGTAGTAGTCGTACTCATTGTTTTTTTTATTATTTCCGGTCAGTTCAGATAAGTCTTCCAGACTGCTTTAGTTTTGTTGCTGAAATCAAATATTTTTTTCTAATAATACCTTCCTTTTGTCTGTTCTGTTAATTTCTTGAGTTGTTTCTTATTTTCAATATACTGTTCTGGAACTACTGTCGTTAAATGATGAAATTCCTTTAAATCGTGACTAGAACGCACGATTTCTTCGTTCACCCACAATCTACATGTGGTTGAAATCGTATGCATTCGCCGTGGAAAACTCATTTGGAGGAATTAGTTAAATACCTCAAGAAATGTGCAAACGCTTGGCTAACATCGTTCATGTTATACAGGGTGAGGGGAAAATAGATGCAGAGCCGGTGGTGGGAGATAGTACAAGCCAATATGGGTCGATTTTACTATAGGAACTACTGTCCGAAAATTAGCGGTTATCGAATTATACTAATTTTTAAGATTTTATAAAATTAACGTTCTTTATACGTTAACCAAGTCATAAAACTTGACAATTGGGTGTTTCATTTGAATTATTTTTGGTTTTACAATAAAAATGTTCTAAAATGAGAAAATTGATACTCAAGTGTACATTATTGACATTATCTCATGCAGTAAGCTTCAAAATAGTTTGATTTTTGTTAAAAAAATCTTCGTTCATCTCAAAAGCTTCAGTTTCTTAGAAAAAGTCGCATACAAATTTTTCGTGCAAAACAAATTTACAATATCTACATTTCATTACCTTTCAAATGAGGTATCAAAGTCACAAACCGGTTTAGAAATGACAAAGATTTGAGTGAAAGAAACAGGTAGAGCCGCGAACATCGGACTTTGCCACCGGAATAGTGTGATAAGTAAGACTAGTCACCCCCCTCCCTCCCATGCTTCAATCTGCTCTTGCAATTTGTTGCATTCGGAGGTGTTTGTTTGGTCGCTGTTTTGATATTTCTAACGGCTTGGCTCTTGTTGGACTTCCGTGTGTGATTATTTTCCTGACGACCTAGACTGTACCCTGTTTTCTGTGATTCCTTACGACTTGGCTGCTGTGTGACTTGATTGTTCGTTGATCGATGAACAATGGCTGATGAACAAAGTTCAGTTTTGAAGAATATGCCCATATCCTTTTCTACTATGGAGATGCCAGAGGCAATGCTGAAGAAGCTCATCGTGAGTATGGGGAAATGTTTCCTAATCGTCGCCTACCTGACTCCCGCGTATTTAGGCAAACGTTCCGTCGGGCTGGAGAGCGCGGTACCGTCGTAAGATATCAAGGTAAGTTTGCATCATTGATAATTATTAACTTATCATAATCAGTCATTCAGTAAGGCTTATGTAGAGCGTTGGAGGTCTGTGGGCTGAACTGATGATACTGTAACATAGTTGCTTTGATACAGTTGATTGGACTTCTTAATTAAGAGTTTATTCATTTAATTTTAACACGAGCATCTACACGGCTCTGAAAACGGAAACATCCACACGTTGTGTATCGTTTTTTCTAAATAACATTTTGCCAACTCTATCTCATAGCCTTACCGCTATGTTTATTAGGTAACAATTTCCTCCAAAAAACTGTTGTTATTTGTTTTTTCATTTTATTTCAGGCGATGCAGGTAGACCTAGACATGATGTGGAAGAAAAAGAAGAAATACTAAATATTTTCCAAAGAGACCCTACTCTCTCTACTCGCGCTGTGGCTCGACGGCCTGGATTATTCCAATGACAAGTGTGGTATGTTTGGCATGAAACTATATTCCACCCTTACCATTACACACCTGTCCACGTCATAGAGGAAGGAGATCCCATGAGGCGCATGCAATTTTGTCATTTTATTTTAAAGCTGATGTTGAAGATAGTAACTATTTAAGAAAAATTCCATGGACGGACGAATCTAAATTTGATAAAGACGGCATAACAAACTACCATCACGCTCACTATTGGCGTGAACGTGCAGTGGGAAATCCTCATATGGAGAGACCAAAAGGATCTGAAAGGCGATTTTGTCTGAATGTCTGGATGGGCATTATAAATAACTGTTTGGTAGGACCACATTTCCTACCCAACAACTTAAATGGAGAAGCCTACGAAAATTTCTTCAGAAATGTTCTATTTGAATTACTTGAAGACGTGCCGCTACACACAGGACACAGAATGATTTTTCAGCATGATGGGTGCCCAGCACATTTCAGACTAAGTGTTATAAATTGGTTAAATGAGCAGTTTCCGAATCGATGGATCGGTAGAGGCGGGTCCCATGGCCAGCACGCAGTCCCAATCTCACACCTACGGATTTTTTTGTGTGGGGGTCGCATGAAAACTTTAGTATACTCTGATCAAAGTCCTGTACCCACAATAGAAGACCTCAGAAACAGGATAATACATGCAGTACAGGAAATTCAAGCATCTCTTAGGAATTCGGCGGTAGTAAAATCAGCTGTCATAAGAAGAGCACGCGTGTGCATTAGAATAGAGGGCGCCATATTGAAAATGTATTATAAAAATAGGAAAATGTAGTTCCAAATAAATTATCCTGTATTAAGGTATGATTTTGCAAGTGTAGTATTTTTATTGCTTTTTCCTTCCTCCTCTTATAATAGTCATATTTTGGCCAATTCTCAATCTTTTTGTCAATTTTATGACTTCTCTTTATTAAACTTTAAGAAAAAGCTAAAGAATTTGTATCTGTCTGAAGTGTGAAGGATCCTATATGCCGACTCTGTTTATGCCCACTACTTTTCTACTTGTCTCTCTTTCATTCTTGTTCTATTAATTGTTGATACAGAATACTTTTTCGTTACCTACAAAAATGTATTATGATTTGCTGATAGGACGTTGGTAGCTACACCAGCAACAAAAGACTTTTAATCCTACGTTTTATTGAGAAAGTTATGGTAGTTAAATGGATGAGCTGAAACTCACTACATATTCTTTTTTTTTTCTTTTTTTTATGATTAGTTCCTTTCTCTTAGGCACTAGGTTACAGAACAGTTATTATGTTAATACTTATGTTTATCTCTATTATTGTATGATATGTATATGTTCATGATACAGATACAATTTTTTATTTGAGGTTGAGTTGAAAAATACCCCTAGGGTAACACTCCACCTTTTCAATTTTGCACTTTTGCGGTTTTCAAGATATCATTCTTTTGTTTTATTTTATGTATGCAAAGTTGAATAAAGGCACATTATTATTATTATTATTATTATTATTATTATTTTATACCTCATTTGAAATATAAGTAGATGTTTTCTAATTGTTTTGTACGAAAAATTTGTATGCGACTTTTTCTAGTTAACTGAAGCTTTTGAGATGAACGAAGATTCTTTTAACAGAAATCGAGCTATTTTGAAGCATACTGCATGATATAACGTCGATAATGTACATTTGAGTATCACTTTTGTATTTTAGAATATTTTTATTGTAAAACAAAAAAAAATTAAATGATACACCCAATTTTCAAGTTTTATGACTTGGTTAACGTATAAAGGACGTTAATTTTATACAATCTTAAAAATTAGTATAATTCGAAAACGGCTAATTTTCGGAGTGTAAGTCCTATAGTAAAATCGACTCAGATTGGCTTGTACTATCTCCCCCCACCGGCTCCGCATCCATTTTCCCGTCACCCTGTATAGTGAAGACGAATCTTCAGCACATAGATCTGATACAAATTTGTTTATTGAGCCTTCATCATATGACCTTCTTCAGATATTATTAGGTTTGTTTTTTGTTGAGATGTCTTCATGGAGTTTCCTGTGGTTTGACATATTATCATCTAAAGCGCAGGAAGTAAATAAAAGTTTGTAAATATCTGATCAATCGTGGTGACTGAACTACGTCCTATTCTTGTCAGCGATCACACTGATGGAGATAAATTGAATTCACTGAGGACATCATTCAGGTTTCGAGATCCAGCTTCAGCTAAAAGGCTATTCGGGCTTTCTATTTTGGCTCAAAATGAGGATGCTTTTTTCGGCTAACTCATTAATGGGTAGATGGATAAAGAAAATCGTTTTAGCTACTATTCGTAGCATGTATACCCCTTTTCAACTTACCTGGTTCACATCCATGAGCTTAGGCAGTGATGCATAAGATCTATTGAGTTCAGTCTGTTGCTTGCAGTCGCTAGCAAACCTTGTTTTCAGAGGGTAAATCGGTACTATGCAATTACATAACTCGATGTCTTGCTGATGAGATGCTTGTTGGTGAGATGGAGGTCTTTGTTGATTTGCATTCGCTTCTGGACTGAACCTGGAACAAAAATAACATGTGACTAGGAATATACTATGAATCTGGTTTTCTGTATACTTTATCATGTACAGTTCAAGGCTGCTCTAAGTATCGGGCGTCACGGATTAAACGCCTCTAGTGAAATATTGAAAAGATTACGGTAACAAAGTAGCAAAGTTCATAGCGAAGGTAACGGATACGATAGCTCTGGACGAAAATGCCGTCCAATCGGTTGATTCTGCACCTCTGTAGAGCTGTTCGCAAAGGATTATGTTTGGCACGAGCCGGACAGCGGCGAACGTGTATTTAGAAATGCGTGTTTTGAAAATATTTCTCTATCACTTTAAGTTTCACGGATAAATCCAGTAGGAAATCTGTAGCGTAAAAAAATAAGCACCCTCCCTACCCCATATAACCGCTAACCTCCGATTTTTAAATCTCCGTAAAAATTCTTATGAAAAGGGCCAGCTCCGAAAAGCAAAGTTTGCCCCTACTTGTGCCGCCAATGGACTGGTATTCAAAATATATAAAGCTTTTTCGAGCTAGTACTGAAATTGTGTGAAAATTTTATCAAGGTTCAAGAGGTACTATCCAAGTTATAGACGGTCCAAGAATTAACTGACAGACCGAGAAACAGACAGACGGAAATGAGTGATATGTATGTTTCGTGATGCACATGTCACGTAACACCCAAAAACATATCCTATTCGCGATCACAATACTTTCAAATAAAACACTAACGATAAGAAATAGCTATAAATGGCAAAGGCAGTTCAGAATGCTAAAAGCGTTTCAAAGATACACAGGACTGTAAATCGTGGAGCGGTTTGCTGAATAAACGCTTGAGTGGAAAGCTTAACTTGCAGTGCCGGTTTTCAAAGCTCCCGCATCAGATTATTGAAAGTTTTGTTGCCGTTTGAATACAAGTTCCTTTTACCTGCCTGGAAGCTAGACCTTACTATACTAAGTGACATATAAATCCGAACACCCAGTTTAAATGGTTTTTTTAATAAAAGTTGGTGAATGTATTTATCTTACTGTAAATAACAAGCGAAAAAATGTTCAGCCTTATCAGTTGGACATTCCGGTTTTTATACTGCTTTTTTTTAATTCACTAACGCTCTAAAAATGAATATTTCAGCCGCAGTAAAGAATCAACGTTGGCGGATTTTGGTTCTTGACATCCTTTACGATCGGTTACGATGCCTAGAGTACGGAGACCTGTATGATTTCGTCAACTAAGCGAGTTTGATAGGGGCCGTATAGTGGGACTTCGGGAAGTTGGACTTTCTTTTCGGGCAATTGCAGTTGGAGTGCAAAGAAGTGTAGACACTGTGGTTAGGTGTTGTCAGGCATGGCTTCGAGAAGGCCGTACGCAAAGAGCAAGGGGCACTGGACGCCGCCTTAGAACAACAGACCGTGAAGATCGCCGCCTAAGATTATTGGCCTTAAGGGACCGTTTCTCCACTACCAGGTCCATTGCAAATGAATGGTTTGCAGAACACGGAAGACCTATTGGCATGCGAAGTGTTTACCGACTAATGAGAAGTTTTGGCTTGTTTTCATACCGGCCACACTGGGTCCGCCCTTTAACTCGAGAACACCGACGCAATCGCCTTTAGTGGTGCAGACAACGGTCACTCTGGGATCAGGAATGGAACAGTATTGTCTTTAGTGACGAGTCTCGATTTTGTTTAGGCATGCACGATGGTCGTGCCAGGGTTAGAAGGCGACGTGGTGAAAGGAGGAATCCACAGTTTTTTGTTGAAAGACATGTTCATCACACTGTTGGAGTTATGGTTTGGGGTGCTATAGCTTATGGTTCCAGGTCACCTTTAATCTTCATCAGGGGTAACATGAACGCGCAGCGTTATATCCACGAAGTTCTAGAACTCCATCTTTTACCCTATCTTGACACCCTGGCAGATCCAACTTTCCAACAAGGTAATGCCCAACCACATGTTGCAAGAGTCACAATAGACTTCTTTCAACATAATGATGTCACATTGTTACCATGGCCACCAAGATCTCCCGACTTATCCCCAATTGAGCACGTGTGGGATATGATGGGTAGGAGATTGCTCAATTTGCAACGCCCTCCTCAGACTCTAGAAGCACTTCGAGAGGAGTTGGTGGTTGCCTGGAATGAGATACCACAGGAGGACATTGACCACCTGATCAGAAGCATGCCTAGGCGCGTTGGAGAATGCGTAGCACATCAGGGTGCATCCACACATTATTAAAGGTCAAAGGGCTTTAAAGCAGTGCAATCATTTTGAAATTTTTATCATTTACTTATTATGCTTCATTAAGTACTTATACAAAATTTTATTAAAATAACACCATTTAGACTGGGTGTTGGGATTTATATGTCACTTAGTACATATAATAGTCAAACGCCGAATAGCGTGTAGTTCTGATTAGTACGGAATAGTGAACGTTCAACGGGTAGGTGAATAGACGCTGGAAAACTGTACATATTCAATAATAAGAACACTATATTCTGTCAACATAATTAACCTCTGTGATTCGCAGAGATGTTACCTATAAAACCCATATAATATCATTAACAACCGGTATAGTGTCAACTTTAGTACTATCCCAGTCTGCACCTACCACCTATGAGCGCCACCTATGGAGAAACGGCACAGCGACCATCGTTCAGTATTGGCTCTGAGCTCCTCTAACGACGCCGGCTTGTTGGCATAGACCAATGATTTGATGTAGTCCAACAAAAAAAATCGAGAGGTGTTAAATCACACGATCTAGGCGGCCAATAGACAGGACTATTTCTCAATATAACACGTTCACCGAATTTTGATTTCAATATGTCGATTCTATCACCCGGTGGCTTTTGGCACCGTCTTGTTGAAACCACGTATCATTAATGTCTAGCCCATCCAATTGACCAAAAAAATAACGTTGCAACATGTCTCTGTAGCGAATTTTACGTGACGGTCATTTTCATCAACTAAAAAAAAGGCCCAATGACACCACCGGCATAACAACCACACCATACAGTTACTTTTTGTGTATGAAGCACATGAGGGTTTTCACCTGACCAACAACGCATATTCTGTTTGTTAACGAATCCGCTTACCCAAAAATGCGCCTCTTCACGGAAGATGATTTTGCGATTGAATTGGTAATTTTCTTGCTACATTTCTAGAGCCTAATTCGAGAATGATCGAACGGCTTCAGATCTTGAGTTAACTGGATCCTATAAGGGTCTCTTCGCAAAATTCGCCATAGTGTGGTCTGAGCGATGCCCAATTCTTGAGAACGCCGTGGAATTGACGTGTTCCGTTCGTTTGAGACGGAAGCTTGAACGGCAGCAGGAATATTCTTAGCACTTCGACCAACCTATTGACTCACTGACACGGGAACATCCATCAGCGAACATGTGGACAGAAATTTTCTTACTAGACTCTTAAAGTTGCAATCACCGACTCGAAATTTCGGTAGTAAATTTTAATTATTTTTTTTTCGTGTAATTCACCATGATAAAAATGCTTTCTTTACTGAATGTTTTGACACTGACAGTTCGGTAATTGATTTAAACGGGCGTTCACAGTGAAAGTTCAAAGTTGTCAAGTCTCTATTGGAAAACCCGAAATAACAGTTAGTACCATGACGCTTAGGCAAGACGTACAGCTACTTCAAGTGAACATGAAGTAAATGACAGCTGGTTCCAAGGTCGATATGTCCCTTTTCAAGATACGTATTTCGGGTGCTGGTTCCTTTATGACCGTTTTGTGCAAATTTTTTTAACCTTACCCATCTTCAACCTACCGGGTATTTTGAAAAAGAAACTTTCTTGGCTATTTTTATAAGACGTATAGACATATATTAAAAAATCACAGAGGCAAATGTTCATTTTTTCAAATTCCCAGTGAAATATCTCAATAAAACTGATAATTCTAAACTCTGGGCGCTGAAGAAAGACATTAAACGTAAACAGTGATCAGCACGTGAACAGATCCCTCGAAAGCATCCACGGATATACTCCAGTCACTTTAGGTCTAAACATCCTCGGCAGTGTATTTCTAGTGAATCCACAGACCCTTTTTCGTGTCATCTTGAGACTAGAAAAAGGATGACTGTTAAAATAAGTTACCTGGATCTTTCATGAGCTCCCAGTACAAAACATCATCGATATATTTTTGATGTAGGAACAACAAATTGGTTTAGAAAACATCCACTTTGAACCTAAATTGACTGGAGTAACATCGATCTACAGACAAATTCAAGGTCACTAGCAGTCGTCGGCGCTCTACGAATCTGCACAGGTTTGGACTTGTAAACGTGATTGTAGATGACACGACAGGCATCTAACAGTTAATTCACGCACAGGATTGCATTGCATACGCATTACGCATTCAGTAGCGTATACTCGTTTTTCGCGAGTGGAACGTTTTGTTTATATATTGCCTAAGATACGATGTCTGACACAGATACAGCCGACGAAGTGGTTGACATCAGCGCAACCTCACCCAAAAAAAGGGCTAAGAAGCTACATTTAAGTGCAAATGAAAAACAAATAATATTAAATATATACAAAAACCAAATTCAAGAAAAACCCGATTTGGTCGTGGACGAAGTTATATGTAAGGTAGCACATATTTCTGGAGTATGTCGGTCCAGTGTTTATAGGATCATTAAGGAATATAGGAGCACTCACTCACTTTCTGAGACAAAACCGTATCCTGCAAGAAAAAGGATAACGGACGGAGTAGATGACTTTGACAGAACTGCCATCAGGAGGAAAGTGCATAATTTTTTCTTCCGAAATGAGATACCTACAGTAGATAAGATATTAAGATTAGTTAATGCTGATGAGGATCTTCCATCATTTAAAAGAACCACATTCCGAAAACTTTTGAAGGAACTTAATTTTCGATTCTTGAAACGGGGAAGAAACAGTATGTTAATAGAGAAAGAAGAAATTGTTGTGTGGAGAAGGGAATACCTTAGGAAGATTCGGAAGTTTCGCGATGAAAAAAGAAAAATTTACTATTTGG